AGGGAGCCCCACTCGTGTTGTCTTTGGACATCTGGAAACAGGGAAGGAGAGCCAGGCCCAGTCTCAGGTGTCCTCATGCCCCTCCCTCTGCTCTGCCAGCTACTCTCCCCACCCACTCTGCACTGTCCACCTGGGTGGACTCTGAGCCTTTGTCTGCCGCATAAAGCCATCTGCATCAGCTGTCAAGCACGTTAAGCTGGTCTCTGAGACTGCGAGATCAAGTTCTTATCCGGCTATGTGAGGCTCCTCTCTAGGGGTGCCTGGTGTCTCCTGTGGGTGGCCTGCTTCTGCCCAGCGCTGAGGGGATTAGCGGAACTGCAGGCACTCATGGTCATGGGGAGAGAGGCGAGGCTGGCCAGCCCCACCCAGGGGCCCACAGCAAGTTCTGCTCAGCATCCCTGGCAGGTTGATCCCAGAACCCAGGATACAGACATGGCCCTATAATTCTGTTCTTGTTGCTACCTTAAATTCAGGGGAGTGCGGGGGATAGGGCAGGTGTGTGATTATCTTAATATCCTAGGACTACTTTAACCAGTGGGTCCTGGTAGCATAGTGGATATGTACTGGGCTGCTAACCTCAAGGTCAGCACTTCAAAATCACCAGCAAATCCTTGGGAGAAAGATGAGGCTTTCGAATCCCATGAAGACTCACAGTCTCAAAAATCCACAGGGTCACTAAAAGTTGGGATCAACAAGCGGGCAGTGAGTGAGTGAGTGATGGACTATCAGACGTATACAAGGATGTCTATAAGGTGAGCCAGAGACAGATAAAAGAAAAAACATAGATTCAGGAATGGATTGGGGGCTCACAATCCTAGCACCAATCTAAGAACAATTAGTATATAGGACATGGCCCTGCTCGATAATCACATGAGTGCTATAGCAAAGTGTGGTGATGAAATTATAGATGGTGTCCAGCTATCAGAAAGAATGGTGTCTGGGGTCTTAAGCGCTTGTTTTCAAATAAGCAGCCATCTAACTTAGATGTCAACTAAGTCCACATGGAAGAAGCACACCAACATCCATGACCCAAGGACTATAAATCATATAATCCAAATCTGAAGGAGGGAATACTATCAGAGCCTAAATTGTGAGATTCTGGTATGCAGAAGGCTATGGATGACAGTGGAAGCCCAAAATACATTTACAGGATCTATACAGGGAATAAGCCTCCGGTGATTTCCCTCTGACCATAAGTGAGGAATGAACTGGTTATCTGACAGTCCGTATTGGAGAGACAACTCTAGTAGATTAAAATGAAAATCTGACTTGGAACAATTTAAACTTTGTCACTTGATCTCCTGTACTATACTTTGGGCTTGTTTTGTTTTTTAATATCTTCTGTGGGTTGTTTTTTTTTTCATATTGGGGTTTATCTCAGTTGTGTTTTGTGACTGTAGGTAGCCTTCTTGAATCTTTGCTATGTGTTTTTCTATGGTTTTCATTATATATAACCCAGGATAGATGAACCTATAGACAACAACTAAAAATGGGGTTCTTGGGGGGGTACAGTGGGGAAGTTGGAAGGGATTAGGGGGAGCTGATATCAAAGAGTTCAAGAAGGAAGAACATGATTTAAAACTGATTTTGGTAGCAATTATACAATACTGCTTAATAGGACTGAACTACAGAATAGTATGATGTCTGGATTAGCTCCTCATAAAATGGTTTGAAAAGAAAAGAAAATACAAATCTTTCCTATAAGAACAACCACAATGCTCCTTAGAAACCAGGATGAGGTGATTTGTCTCACAGGCTTTGGACTTGTTACCATGAGGGCCCAGTCCATGGAGAAGGATCTCCCGCTGGGTAAGCTAGATGGTCACTGAAAGAGAGGAAAGCTTTCAATGAGAGGGACTGGCTGTAACAATGGACTCAAGTAAAACAACAATGATGAGGATGGTCCAGGACCAGGTTGTGTTTCATTCTGTTACATACAGCGTTACTCAGAATGGAACAAACGCCAACCTACCTAACAACAACAATCCTTATGGGCAGAGACCTCAACTGGTCGGTTCAAGCTCAGACTTATAAGTTAAAATACCTTTGAGTCATAATATTGAAAAAATACTTATTGAATGAGCTATTTAATATCAGGTTCATAATAACCTAGCGAGTTAGGTTTCATTAACAGCATCTCCATTTGCATATAAAGAAGGTACAGTAAAGTTCCTTGGTCACATAGCTAGTGAGTGGATTGTCACAGAACCTAGGCAGCTAAACTCTCATGGTGTGAACTTAACCTCTATACTTCTTATCCAAGCTCCAGGTTTTACACCGAGCTAAAGCAGTTAGTTATGTATAAACTCAAAAAACCAAACTCATTGCCATCAAGTGGATTCTGACTTACAGCAACCCTGCTGGACAAGGTTGAACTGCCCCATGAGTTTCCAAGACTGTAATTCTTACAAGGGTAGAAACCCCATTTTTCTCCAGAGGAGAGGCTGGTAGTTCTGAACTGCTGTCCTTGCTGTTTGCAGCCCAATGCATAAGCACTATACCACCATAGTGATCACATAGCAAGTGTTTTTCACTTTTTATTGTGAATTGGGTGGGGGTTTGCACTTCAGATCATTTTGTGTACTAAAAAACTTAACAATTTAGCAAAACTCCCAATAATGTGTCTGTGTCCTGTCCTCCCCACACTCTCACCCCACCCCACCCTTTTTTTTCTTTTGAGGCACAGTGAGTCAGAAATTATAAAGTAACAGGTTTGGTTTGGGGGATTTTCTTGGATGCCAGATGACTTACACAGTACAACTTTAAAACATCAATTTTCTTAAAGGGATTAGAGCACCTTTTACTTCCTCCTTCAATCCAGTTTCTAAACAGACTTCTCCATACAAATGCTGGGAACAGAGTTTGGGCCTTCTGCACATCTCTAAATTCCATTTCTGGTTAGTCTGAAGTTTTCATCATCAACACAAAACTAAACTAAAGTAAACCCAAGATAATTCTTTTTGCTGGATAATGTTTTCATGGGTTGGTTTCCTTTTCTTAAAAAAAAAGAAAAAGGTAGATTGAAAACAGCTACGTATGTGTAGTTCTTCGGAGAGGGTGTCTGACTCTCTCAGTTGAACATCACTCCTGGGGAGCGTGAACTTCGGCCTGTACCATTCCCTATCACCAGTCCCCGGGGCCTCCAGCAGAACCTCGTGGCTGGGGCAGGAGCTCCATTTTCTATAGAAGGTCCTTTGCAACCAAGTGCCCAGGTTCCCCACCTGTTGACTCAAATACCAGAGAAATGAGTTACAGCCTACCCCTAGCCTGGGTTCTGTTGCAATCATACAAAAAGGTGAATCTTATCAAGGCAAAGCAAATGTCTCGGGCTCTTGACACCCCGTATCTAAATTCACTTTTCATTCGCCTATACAAATTAAAATGATATGAACTGCAGACTGAAAGGGAGAACGTATTCACAGGATGGGGTGGGGTTCCAAGTCCTGAGAACAGAGACCTCGGGAAAGGACGTTAAAACTGCAGGTTGTGATGAAAAGTAGCGGGTCCACGGAGCCAGGACAGCGGGGTACTTGGAAGCTGTCCCTGTCCAGATAGGCGACCCTACTCCCCTGGGCCTCCGTTTCCAGAACTCTGAAATGCAGGTAAGGGGGGTCTAGTTCAATGACGTCCTCAGCTGGGTAGGTCCCCTTCGCCACACCTTGGGCACACCTCCTCCCAGCCCTCCGTCCCCGCACCCCTTCCAGCCGTGTCAGGGGCCCGGCTGCGCTCCAGGCGCGCGGCGGGCGGGGCTCGTGGGCGAAGCTGAACTTACCCCGAAGCGCGGCCGCGGGAACCCGTGGGTGCGAGGACTCAGAGCAGAGGTGCGCTCCTCCAGGCTGTGGCGCGTGCTCCTAGGCGGCGGCCCGAGACCGCGCCCCTTCCTCCGCCCTCCGCCCACGCGGCCCGGCTCCACCTGACCCTGACCGGGCTCCACCTGACCCTGACCGCCGGCGCCGGGCAAAGCGGAAAGCGCTCCCCGCGCCGCGCGCCCAGGGCACACACACGCCGGGCCCTCCCCACGCCACGTGGCGACACTCTTTCTCGGAGTTTTTGATGCTCCCTCTCTCCAGCCAGGTCTTCAAAGGTACCCACCACTGACTTTGCTAGGGATTAGATAGTGCCCTGGTGGCGTCAGGGACTACGCGCCAAACTACTCACAAAGTCACCAGCTCGAAACCATCCGCCTCTCCGAGGGAGAAAAGTGAGGCTTTTAACTCCCATGACAGCCCCTGCCAACCCAGAGGGCAGTTCAGCCCTGTCGCCTAGGGTCGCTTTGAGTGGCCATCAACTCCATGGCACTGAGAGGTGCCCGAGGAATTCCTGGCCTGGTCTCTCAGGAGGGTTCTTTAGGATTTACGTGGTGCACAGCACACCACAGAACAGCTAAATGCTGTTGTCATATCTCATTGTTGGCAGTGAACGTTTACACAGCAAATTAACTTCCTTTTTCACAATTTTTACACGAATTGTTCTGTAACACTGCCTACAATTTTCCCAATGTTCTCATTCTCTTGTTCTGTTTTCATCAATCTAGCCTCCCTTCCTTTATTATCTCATCGTGGGTTTGGGGTAAATATCATTTGGTCTTATGTAGTTAATTGCTCATGGGTGTTGTTTCTTTTAATAAGCTAATCTATTATTGAGCTACAGCGCTCTGGGTGGAGTCGTGGGGACCCCAACGTCCGAAGTTCAAAATCACTAGCTGATCTGGGGGAGAAAAGGTGGGCCTTTTCTGTACCTGTAAAGAGGTACAGTCTCAGAACCCACAGGAGCAGTTCTACCTTGCCCTATAGGGTCACTGAGTCGGTATTGACTCAATGACAGTGTTCGTTTGTTTGTTTTCCTATTGGGCTGAAAGGTGACCTCAAATCTAAGTAACAAGGGTCTTCTCCTAGGGTGTTCGTTTCAGTTCCTCTAGTTTCTATCACTCCAGTAGACCTGGGCGATTTTTAGGAATTTGAGGTTTGTTCTACAGTTTTCTCTCATTCTAAAAGGAACTTTCTATAGCATCTCTGATTAGGACAGTCAGTAATGGCACCCATCTGGTACTTCTGGCCACCGTGCTTCCCTCTGCACTTGTCTACACAGCACCTCTGTCTCCTATCAGCGATTCCATAAAGCTGCCTTCCTATATTCCTCACTCAGCCACGCTGCATGCTTCATCTCAAGATAACTGCTTGTGAAGGGCAGGCTGGCGGGTGCCTACAGCCCTTTACTCTCCTCTTACACTGCTTGCATTCCGTTCCTTCTTCACGCCAGTGTGTGCTCTAGTTCCTCGTCCTTCCCTTTGCTGCTCTGGGTTCCCAGGCTGTTAGCAGTCTCTGGTCTCTATTTCACTTAGTTTCTCAGTTCTCTGCTGTAGCAGGATAGCCTGGAGTGCGGGTGAGACTAAACTGGCAACCCAGGCTATCTTCATGAACTCATTTTTGTTCATCGTTTTATTAGGGGGTCATACAATTCTTATCACAATCCATACATGCATCAATTGTGTAAAGCACATTTGTATGTTAACTGCCCTCATCATTCTCAAAACATCTGCTCTCCACCCAAGCCCCTGGCATCGGCTCCTCATTTTACCCCCTCCCTCACCCCCTCCCTCATGAACCCTTGATCATTTACAAATGAATTTTTTGTCATATCTTGGGCTGTTCAACATCTCCCTTCACTCACTTTTCTGTTGTCTGCCTCCCAGGGAGGATGTTATATGTAATCAGTTCCCCCTTTCCAACCCACCCTCCCTCCACCCTCCCAGTATCACGAATCTCACCACTGGTCCTGATGGGATCATCTGCCCTGGATTCCCTGTGTTTCCAGTTCCTATCTGTA